TACATATAAACACATACCCTACAGTATAGATCATAGAATAATTCAGTTTGGAAAGGACCTGTCCGGGTGCCTTTCACCCATGTGGTCCACCCTTTCACTAGAATGGGGCTCTCTCAGAAGACGTTGTTCAGGGCCTTTATACCTGTGTTGTCAGCATCTTCAAGGATGGGGGTTTCAGAGTAGGAATCAACCCCCTCCATAAGGTTTGGTTTTCCTTTTTTCTGTTTAGGATTGCCTTTGGTGCAACCTATGCCAGTTGCCTCTTGATTTGATCTTGGCCTTCACTGTAGCTTCTCATAACATCCTTAGAGCCAAGTTGCTGAAATGGATGAGCAGACTGCATGGTGGGTGGAAAGCTGGCTGGATCACTGGGCTTAAATGTTTGTGATCAGAGGCACAAAGTTCCACTGGCAGCTGCTTTCTAGTGGCCTCCCTCAGGGGTCAGTACTGTTTAACATTGTAATGAGCACTGCTTTCCCCTTTTTCACAGAGCCAATCATCTCAGCACAGAAGGCAGGCAGGGTGGGTAGGCATGATTTGTTCTTGCTAAGCCCATGTTGGCTATTCCCAGTTATGTCTGTCTTCACGAGTCCAGTCACAGCTTCCAGAAGATATGTTCATAATCTTTTTCAGATTAGGCCAACCAATCTGCAGTTCCTTGGATACTTTCTCACACTTCAGATGTGATATTTGCATTTTCCCAGGTATTAGAGACCTTCTCCAATGGCCACAGCCTTCCAAAGATGGCAGAAAGCCATAGCTGTCTCTCTCAGCACCCTCAGATGCATCCCAAGTCCCATGGACTTCTGTCCTGCCTGTCTGCAGGCCATGTACACTTTACAATATCAAACCACATCCACAGCCAGTGCCAGGAAGTGCAATCTTATAGCTGTGTTTTTCTAGAAATCTGTTCATATGTTTGTAGTTCAAGCTGGGAGATTAAACAGGAAACCTTTTTGGTCTCTATACCACTACTTTGCAACTGAAAGTAGGACTGTCTGCAGAGAAATACAAGTCAAGGGTTTTTTTCCTAAAAAGACTTCCAACCACCATCCACCCTGCCCTTAGAAACTTTGCAGCCCTTAAAGGAAACGTTAAATCCTCCTCCCTCATAAATATCTCCAAAACCAACACAACACTCCCTGGAGAATCAGGAACTGCAAAGCAGGTCTGAAAGGTCTGCTGATTTTTTTCTTCCTTCAGACATTCTGCTACTGTAAATAGCCTACTTGTTGTACAATCGGATACTTATTTTATCCAGTCCTGCTTCTTGGTCAGTTGCAAAGGGTGGAATGCCCAGTCATCAAACTGACTACAAGCTTCCACATATGAATGCATTGAAGAGATCCCTTCACAGCTGATGGAAGGAAGCAGGCTTTCCTACTTTTCTTCATAAGGCAGATATCTAAAACAGGTCAGATGTTTCTCACAGTTACTGGAACAGGACATACAGGACTAGCTCAGATGCAGATGAAGCTGTTCAGTGTTAGCTGAGATGGATGCTGTCTGAAATGCATATTAAAAAATAACACAGATCTCTAAAAGTGTGCTTCTGGTTCCTATACTGTCCCCTCCCAACTAAACTCTTAGTCATCGGAAGAGTCCTGGTAGAACAACTAAATCTTTGGACATATTAAAGCAAATCTAGAGGGAAGAAAATTCTAATTCTTTGTTGAAAGCACCAAGCTATCAATACCAAAACCAAGATGTTAGCCTGATTACCTTATATGATTTTAAAGACAAAGATAATTTCATGCAAATTTGTAAAAAGATAACATTGTAAAATGATAATACATTTTTGTGCTAGCTGTGTCCTTATGCCAACTGTCAGAACATGTTCACTGTAGACTAGAAATATTTCTTTCACTGGCTCGCACATGGTGGTTTACAGTTAGAAAATAAGTGTAAAACTCTACCTGTGGCTATACCTCCAAAGGCTTACAGACAACATAGGAGAAAGGAATCCAAGCCCTTGCTCTCAAAAAACATGTTCAGAAGTTGAATGCAGGGATTAGCCCAGATACTCCCTGCAATATTGCATCAACATCATGTTTGCATAGTTACTCCCAGTCCCAGAACAAACAGTAAGGAAATAGTGAATCAGACCACAGAGGTTTCCAGAAACCTGAGCAGACTGACTGAGGTGCTTGTGCAATGAATAAAAGTACTGTCACTTCTCTCCAGCCAAACTCACTCTAGAGTAATTTACTCAGTGTTGCATGAAGCACCTGTAGTTTCAACATGAGGACTTTTATCATTCTGCTAGAGGCTTGAAGTTGAAAAAATATTCTCTCATCGGAATACATGGTATGTTCAAAAGGGGGTTTGCTTCAGGACAGATAATTCCTCAACAGAAACCTCTGCTTTCTCAGCTAAGCCATGTCTGCATCCCTAATTCATTGTAGGTTAAACTCTCTTATCCTGATTTGGGTTGTCTGTTAGAAATAAAGAGGATTTCCCCAGAGAAGGTATTGATGAAAGATACAGAGCTAGAACCAGCTACACTAGGCAGTGAAGTGTTTCCATTGCATTAACAAGTATTTTGAGGTGAATTAAAATGCCTTCAAATCATAATATGCAAAAAGATAAAAGATAAAAGATATGTGAAAATATTAAAACCGGACACATAAATATTTTCCATTTCATGAAATTGCTTAAGATATCCCTGGGTTTACTTCATGTTTTTTAATGGGCTATTGTCAGAGGGCTATAATCTGTGCAGCCCCAACTTTTTATTTACATATTTATTCTCTAGTGAATCAAACACAAAAGATTCAGTAGCTCCCATTTTGCCATCAGAGTAAAGTTTAGAGAAAGTAAAAGCATCTGTAATCTGTACCTTTCAGGTATGAAACACTTCCTCTAAAATTAAAAGGAAAACAGAAAACAAACAAAAAGAACCCGCTTTCTCTCTATGCCAAGATAAATCTATCTGGAAGGTAACACACGTAATGAGAGAGGAAAAGGTGCCAGTAGACAGGTGTGACCTGGCTTTCATTAGCCATATCTTTATCTAACTGGGTGGAGACACAAAAGAAACAAAATCTTTCCATTTAGCTGTGTCATTATGGGGTGAGGCACCCTGGCTTTGGTGCACTGAAACTCTGACAGTGGGTACAGTCATGCTCTCCCACTGGCTCCAGTTGCTACATCTCTTTCCCAGCCTCTCAAATATCCTCCCTTTCCCCAGTTTTTCTAATCAATGAATAGTGGTTATGTGTCCAAAAAGGCATCTCCCTCTATATCCTTCCAGCATACCAGCACATTAAGCGTACCACAATTTATTGCTCCCATTTTCCCCCTTGTCCCCTTTGGTCATCTGATGGTCTGGACAATTCAATTAACAGGCGAAATGCAGCTCTTGGATATGTACTTCCTGCTTCCACTGGCTCCAGAAGAATTTACACCTGCAGTACTAAACAATGATTTGCTCAAAGGAATTTAACAAGATAGCTGGTCACGTAATATATGCAAGTTCCGGATGTGACAGAAAATATGCCCATTAATAGTTTCAGAAAGAGAAAATTTGCTTATAGCTCTTTTCAAAGAGCAAATAAAGCATTTAGGTGCACTGCAAATAAAACACGTAATGTCATTTACTGCAACTTCTGAGATAACATAACGGTTTTTCTACTGGTAGAAGCCATTCTGCAAATGCTTTGTGAATTTAGCATAAATTACCTGCAGAAAAGCCAAAAAAGGAGAAAAACTATTGTGTGCAAATCACCAGTTGTCAAGAGAGAAACTTCAGTCCTGCAGCCATGAAGCATGTTGCTTAGAGCTCAACATGAGCTGAGAGTCAAATTCAATAGCTTGCAGACATCAAATATCTTTCAAGCATCAAATAAAATACTTCACAAAGAAAACATAGTTTGAATATTGTTCCAAAGTATTTGGGCAACACTTTGAAATGTATCTATTCAAAGACAACTGGGAGTTTTCAGTGTTTCACTAACTCAAATTGGTCGGCTGCGTCATAAGTATTATTTTTATCTGTTTCTAGCAAGAGAGTACAAAAATTCTAACACTTAATATGTTTAGCAAAGCAATGCTGTAGCTGGATGCAGCACAAAGGACACAAGGCTATCCAGGGATTAAGATTGGCAAACATGTTTCATTAGCGCAGTTTTCCAACAGAGTCAGAGACCAGAAATGAGATGCACTTACTGCATGGAGGTATCTCCCTCTCTGAATGAAGGCTTGCTCACTATGGAGTACTTTGTGGTGTCAGATTGAGACCTCACACAGAGGGATGTCCATCACCTACCTAGGTAGCTGCCAGAGTGCTGAGGAGACTCTACAAACAGGTAGAAAACTACCTACTAAAATACAACCTGGCTTGCGGGTTAGTACAAACACCTCAGGACAGCTTTCTGCATTGCCCATGGTATGTAGCTGGGCTAAGCCCATACCTATGAAGATTTCTAGACACCTCTTCCTACAGCTCCATTAGTGCAGCTAGCCTGTTGTAAACGCGGTCTTATGAATTGCTCCCTGAAGCTTCAGGTGTCACTGAAGGGTCACAGTAACAGAAAATAGGGACCATTTATAGCTTACTCACATTGGTTTACCCACCTCAGCCCAGCGGAGCTGAGATCCACCCCAAACCCTCCAGCATTTCACAGCCCTCACAGAGCCCAGGGAAAGCTGGGCAGGGAGGGGGTGCGGAGGGAGTGCTCAGGACACGGTTTGTTTCCTGAGTTTGTGTCTAAGATGCCTTACTGCAGTGAGGACTCCTGGACTGACTTTAATGGCACTTACATATGTACAAGAGGTGGGCTAACTCCAAACCCCAGATTACAGCTCTGCAGGGTGGCTAGCCTCTCGTTTGCCCCTCCTTGAAAATCTGCCCCCACAGCTGTTAGCGAGGATCTGGGCAGCCAAAAACTAACCCTCTGCTGGCACACAGGAGGGATTTTCAATAACCTGGAATACAGGTTGAATTTTTTATGTATAAATACTGGATGCAGCAATGTGATTAATGACAACGTTATCTCCTGTAATGAAAGAGGGATGTTTGGTCCAGAGCCAGCAATGGGAGGTGAGGGGAGCTGAAGTTCAGGCAGGGAGAAGGGTGATTATGGCTCCTTCTGTCCTGAACTTGTAGGTCTGACCAAGCACCACTCTAGTCTCAGCTCTTTTTTTAGGCTTTGTGAGTCATGTTAGTCCAGCTCAGTGTTAGTGGTCAGAGGTGGTGGTACAAGAAGTGCTCTGGAGAGGCACTACAGAGAGAAACCCTCAGGAAAACCCAATGCCAAGTAAATCGTTTCAGACACTCCTGATGATCTTTTTCTAACATAGATCAGGCTGCCCACATCTGATCCCACAGAAGAGAAAAAGCATGTCACAGCAATTGCCTCAAGACAGAGATTGTCATACCAAGGACAGCCCTTCCCAGACTAGCAATGTGGTGTGCCTTCTGGTGAGAAACTGGTGGAATAAACCAGAAAAATCCCCAGATTTTTCAGCCCTCTAAGATTCATTAGCCCACTGTTAGAAGCAGTGATCTTTTTTCCATTTAGTGGAAGATTTAAGGCCAGCCTCTAAGTCCTTCAGCTGAGCTGGTGTGGCTGGTGAGGTTATTTCCTGTGTTCATGTGGCTCCCTCCCTGGGGCTCTGCATTCTCCTCTCTCACTGGTTGTTCCCATGGGATCTGCTGAGCCACTGGATTCTCTGCTGCCTATGTACAAAACGCTTTCCACCAACCAGGTTCTCCACTTCCTATGGACAAAGAGCTTTCTACCAGTCATCGTGTCTCCTTTGCAACAGTGGAGAGCCTCTCTCATCTTCCTCTGCTACAAATAACTCCTTTGTGTCTCTACCACGCCAGGTCAACAGCCCCCAGACAAAAAGTGGCCTGGCCTGGCTTCTTTCTCAGCCACACTACTCATCTGGTGGCATGGGGGAAGCTGGAATACAACATGATAAAACTTGTTTGCCAGAGTTGCCAAAGGTAAGTCTGTTTTGCTTCCTTGTTTGCAGCACCCTGACAAGGTCAGGTGGAAGCATCTGGCAATAAGTGACTCACTCAAGGCTGCCTGGTGAGTCAGCATCGAAGGCTGACAAGGCTTAGGAATGCTGATGGCTGGGTCTCACTGTCACCACAAGATCATGTTTTCCCCTGGTTGCCCTAGCAAAGCTGCTCTCACGGGTGAATACAGCACGGAAATATCTCCCATAATGAGGATTTCCCACTGCAATTCTTGGCAAAGCTGAATTGCTGCAGATTTATGAGCTTCCGTTCAGATCTTCTCTAATTCCTCTTTTGAAACTCCATTACCTCCATCTGTGTTGCCTTTTGCATCAATCAGCCATTTTTACTTGATGGGCTGTTTTTGTGTTTTGTTTCTTGCAAACTCCAATAGAATTTCACCAGCTGAATTTTATAGACTCCTTCATTATTCATATCTTGTGTGCAAACAAATGCAGCCTGCATGAGGAAAAAATACAAATCAGCATAATTTTGTTTTTCTAAGAAAGCAGAGAAGTTCTGTGTTCTACCCAAAGTAAAGCAGTTTCATTGCTAAAAGCAGTATTAACTGACAAAGATGGTAGTACTACAGCAAAATGAGTCAGAAACATTGCCCAGAAAATCTTCTTCCCGCCCCAGAACTGATTATTTTGCAGCTTCCATTTCAATGGCATTCAGTGGCTGCAGGTTAAATTCAGTTTGATGCTGAAGAATGACCAAATTTAAACCTTAAATTTTCTCTCCATAATTAAGGGGGAAGAAGGTCTTTCCTCACCATCTAGCATGGCTCCTTGACAGAGCTTTAAACTAGACTTGAAGTGGGAAGTGGATAATGTCAGGCTTGCCTGTGACAAGCTGTGGGATGACACACCAAGGTTAGAAGGACAGAGTGCTAGCAAGGGCCTCAGCCAGCTCTGAAAGGTGCTGTCTACACTGCAGATGACTTGAAGTCTTACCGAGATGAACCAGGGGAGTGATAGAAACCAACAGGGAAATATCTCAGAGGAATTAAGGGGTGTTCCTCTAAGAAGGTGACATGGCCAACAGCCCAGCTAAAGTGTCTCTGCACCAACACACTCAGCATGGGCAACAAACAGGAAGAGCTGGAAGCCACCATGCTGCTAGAAAGCTACGACCTAGTTGCCATTACTGAAACTTGGTGGGATGAGTCCGATGACTGAAGTGTGGCTATTGATGGCTACAGGCTGTTCAGAAGGGACAGGAGAGGAAGGAGAGGCAGAAGAATTCCCCTCTGCATCAAGAGATGGATAGAACATGAAGAGCTATCTCTGAAGAATATCCATAAGCAAGTTGAAAGCCTGCAGGTGAGAATCAGAGACAAAGGCAAGAAAAGGAACCTCATGGTCGGCGTCTGCTACAGGTCACCTGACCAAGGGGAGCCTACTGATGAAGCTTTCCTTCTCCAGCTACAGGAGGCACTGTGCTCACAGGCTCTTGTCCTGCTGACTTCAACCCCCCCAACATCTGCCGGAAAAGTAGCACAGTGAGTAGCAATCCAGGAGATTCCTGGAATGCATGGAAGATAACTTCATGAGACAGGTAATAGACAGCCCTACCAGAGGGGATGAGATACTGGATCTGATGGTTACCAAAGCAAGAGAGCTAATCAAGGATGTCAAGACTGGAGGCAGCCTGGTCTGAAGTGATCATGCACTGGTGGAGTTCGCAGTCCAGAGGGATATGTGTTGGATAAAGAATAAAATCAGGACCCTGAATGTTACCAAAGCAAACTTCCAGCTGTTCAAGGAGTTAGTCAATAAGACCCCCTGGGAAACTGCCCTCAAAGACAAGGGAGCAGAACAGAACTGGCAGATCTTTAAGGATGCTTTCCAAAGAGCACAAGAGCTCTTGATCCCCTGATGTAAGAAATCAGGATAGGAAGGCAAAAGATCGGCATAGCTGAGTCAAGACCTGCTGGTAAAACTAAAATGCAAGAAGGAAATGCACAGACAGTGGAAACAGGGATAGATATCCTGGGAAGAGTAGAGATAGGCAGTCCAGTTGTGTAGGTATGGGGTTAGGAAGGCCAAGGTGCAGATGGAGCTGAACTTGGTGAGGAATGAAAAGAATAACAAGAAGGGCTTCTACAGATACTTTAGCCAGAAAAGGAAGATCAAAGAAAATGTATTCCAATGAGCAGGACTGGCAAACTGGTAACTGGAGAAGGCTGAGATAGACAACAACTTTTTGCCTCAGACTGCCCTGGCAACCTCTCTTTCCACACTTCTTGAGTGGATGGACTGCAAGATGAGGACTGGAGGAGCAAAGTGCCCCATCACCGCACATAAAGATCAGGTTCATGACCACCTGAATGTACATAAGTCCATGGGACCTGATGAGATACATCCCAGAGTCCTGAGGTAATTGGCTGATGTAGTTGCCAAGCCACTCTTCACGATATCTGAAAAGTCATGGCAGTCAGATGAAGTCCCATCTGACTGGAAAACATTGTACCCATCTTTAAAAAGGGTAGAAAGGAGGACCCTGGGAACTACTGACCTGTCAGCCTCATCCCTATACCTGGGAAGATCATGAAACAGACCCTCTTAGAAGCTATGCTAAGGTGGAGGACAGGGAGGTGATTTGGGACAGCCACAACAGCTTAACCAAGGGCAAGTCCTGTCTGACCAACCTAGCGGCCTTCTACAATGGAGTGACTACACCAGTGGACAAGGGAAGAGCTACAGATATCATCTGTCCGGACTTGTGTACAGCTTTGACATGGTCCCCCACAACATCCTTCCGTCTAAATTGGAGAGAGAAGGATTTGATGGGTGGACTATTGGAGCAGGTCCAAAGGAAGGCCACCAAGATGATCAGAGGGCTGGAGCAGCTCTCCTACAAAGAAATGCTGAGAGAGTTGGGGCTGTTCAGCCTGGAGAAGAGAAGGCTTTGGCAAGACCTTATTGGAGCCTTTCAGTACGTAAAGGGAGCTTATAAGAAAGATGCAGACAAACCCTTTAACAGGACTTGTTGCACAGGACAAGGGGTAATGGTTTTAAGCTAAAAGAGGGTATATACAGATATAAGGAAGAAAATCTTTTACAATGAGGATGCTGAAACACTGGAACAGGTTGTCCAGAGGGGTAGCAGATGCCTCATCTGTGGAAATATTCAAAGTCAAGTTGGATGAGGCTCTGGGCAATCTAATCTAGTTGAAGATGTCCTTTCTTATTGCAGGGACTAGACAGCCTTTAAAGGTCCCTTCCAACTCAAACTATTCTGTGTCTCTATGATCTGTTAGGACTGCCAAGGGCCTCCATGTTCTCTCTAGAGGTGATCAATCTCCAGTGACAGTTTGCAGAGGGACAGTGGATAATAATTTTGTCTTTATAAATCATGTGGTACAGGCAAGATGGATGAACAAGTATGTAGGTGGACGTCTTCTCAAATGTACATCGCCCAGGACCATTCTCTGTCAGTAAGGGCAGCTGGGATGGAGTTTAGCCCGTGCCTGTTGCATTCAATTCTCTTAACTTCTAAAACAGGGATGCGGTCCTTGATTGTGCTAGCTGCCAAATCACTTGGAATAGCATTAGTCACTGCAGGCCAAACCCTCAGGCCAGGTACCATTCAACAAATGAGCAGTGTTGATGACCAAGGCTCAGCAGCCCGGGGAGTTCCTGCCACCACCTAATTAATAAATACAGCAGGAGGGGGAATTCCGCAAAACTCTAGCCTCAACTGTGCACCGGGCTAGGACGTTATACATGTATGCAGGGCTTGTTCTTATCCCTTCCTTAGAGGTTAGTGCCTTTTCCTCTGCACCAACTCACTTGCTAACTTTGAGGACTAAATTGGATCATTTCACTGGCCAGCACTGATCAAAATCAGCACGTGTGATGGCACACACTGAGAGGACTGTAAGCTGAAGTGTGCTGGTGCAGGTGAGGGCCTAAGCAGAGGGGCAAATTTCACAGGGTTAGCCAAATATTGTGCTTTTCTTAAAAGAAATCTTGACTGAATTACTGCCTATTTTCTGAATATGCAGAACTTGATCTATTCATCCAGCAAGTCACCTATCTGCTTATTTATGAGAGATCCTGACATCTAGAATTAAAGAAAAAATATTATGTGATCACTTTTGAATTAATTTTGACTGATGGCTTTTCTGAAGGTTTTTTTGTCACCAAGCATTACATTGTACAAATACTCTTGGTCATCTCAGATTATGTGGAAGTTTTGACTTTTGACTGTGGCAACTTTAAACCACCTTGACAAAGAAGGTGCTTCTTTTTATTTCAGTTTACAGCACAGCAGTCTGATCACAAAAGCTTCATTCTAGGGTCTTTTAGTCAGATTTGATCATGAACTGTAGAAAGGCATGTATTTCAAAACACAGCAGAAAATGTAATAGTGTTTTTGTCATGTGTTTTAACAGTAAATGTTATTTATGATAACTGTCTGGAAAAATGTCATTTAATGGTCATAGGAGTCACTCAGCATTCTGCAGAGCTGTCATCCCTTTTAGGAAAAAGTAAGTTGAGACTGAGGTAGAAATCCCAGCCAAAAAAGCTCCCTTTGAAGATGGCTGTGGAGCAGTACCATCACTGTACCCCTTTGATTACACCCTCATGATGTAACCACATGGTCATTTGATTCCTTCAGAAAGCACAACTTAACTAATGCATTTCTCTGTATGCCACATGAGTTTTGATTGCTTATCAATAAAATATTTTATATGAGTGGGGAAGGGGAGGGACCTATTTGACAAGTAGAGCCACTTCATGGGGGCAATGACAAATCCAGCTTGAAAATGTCCAATATGATGTATGAATACATTTTTTTTCCTCAAGGACAACTCCCAGGCACAACAAGCCTGCTGAGGTTTGCTTAGCAGTGTCTTCTTTGTGTGACTGGTTTTTAAGGCCAGTTTTTCTCTTCCCATGCTCCTTGTGATACTGGAGCTACGGTAATTGATTCTAGCCAGGCCAACCTACATACCACCATCCCCACTGGAGGCAGTAGTGAATCCTTGTAGTTTTGCAAAACTTTGGTCCTTCTCCATGGGTGAAGGAGAACTGGCACCACTGACAACCAGGACTGGCAATGCAGTGTTGAAGAAGAAATCTTGCCTTTGCTCTTCAAGCACAGAGTAATGTAGACAATTTGGGTACATCCTTTCTATCCAGCTAATGCAGAGCATCAAGATTTTCACACCTAAACAGATGAAAGAAGTTAGTCAGAAGTCATCTACAGGCTCATCTAACAGAAATTGGGTCCTAACTTTGCCCTAGTCTGGATTCAAGACAACACATAGAATAGAAACATAGTTTAGATAGAAACATAGTTTAGATAGAAACATAGTTTAGATAGAAACATAGTTTAGATAGAAACATAGTTTAGATTCTAAGTCAGCCTAACCTAGGGAACCTCAGCTGGCAGCATTCCTCCTGCAACCGAGAAGCCAATTACTCAGCAGCCTTATATTGGCACAGCCTTGAAGCCTGTCATATGATCTAACCCAGCATAGGAACAGGGTCAGGCTGTTCACAAGAGTCACAGAATGGCCACCCTTGTGTAGTTAAATCGGTTTCCATCAGTACCTTTTAAGCAGACAACCATTCCTCTCCTCTGAGTCTGTGCTGATACTGTCAGCAATGAGATGCTGTTACTCTAACTTAGGGAAGTAACAAGAGTCCTGGTTGCACCAAAATAGTATAAGCTGTTCCCTGCAAGATGCATCATCTGTATATTGGTGTGAAACTGCACCTCTGTCATTTGGCCCTATTTTTTTTTTGCGTTCCCCCAAAAGCCAGTGCACTTTACAGCTTTATCCAGTTCCATATGTGGACACTACCAAACTGGACTTGTATGTCAGCAGTATGTCATTTACATAAAATTATTATAATTCTCCACAACAGTATCATTGCCATCAGCTTATTCCCAAGTCTTGAGCGGAGCAAATGGAGTTAGTTACAAGTGAGTCCTATAATAGAAAGATGTTACAGTATTGTGTGAAGGGAAGAGCTCCAGGGACTTTCCTGTAGACTTTGGTTGAAATTACCAAACCACAACTGGCACAGTGGGTCAGCTACTTGCAGAGCTCCAGGGCTCCTGACAGATGAGAAGCTCTTGCTTCCTACCACACCCCACCATTTTCAGTTCCAGGACACTTCCTCCCTATTCTAACAGATGATGACCTGTTCCCCATTATAGAAGCTTTTGTCAACTCTTGTCTAGACTAAAACAGTGCCATGTATATGAGCAAGAAGTCATGAGCCCTTAGGAAATTCCAGCAAGTACAAGGCTGCAACATTCCTTCTTACCAGAACAGATTAGGACAAGTACCTTCTTAGTGTTTTCATGCAATGTTGTGTCCAGCCCAAGTCTATTGTCTCCAATGCAGTGGTGTGGGTCCCAAATTAATTTCAAGTTCCTGTGCAAAGACTGCGATGACCAGCTTTGCTCCTCACTTGGAAGAGAACTTCTCATAGTGGCAAACCTCATCTTATGGGGAATGAACTCCCCTAGAGACTATGAACATTACAAGCCTGCATCTCTTGTGTCAAGTGCAAGACCTCTGCTTTAACCCTCACTTTTTCTACTGTATATAAATAGCAGCATGTGCATTTAAAACGAAACTTCTGCCAAAACAAAGAAGTGCACTGTAGGTGTGACTTGCAGCTTGGGGAAGGGATGGGAGAGAAAGCACATCACTCATGGTACAGTTGTCATGATGTTCAGTGCATGGATTTCAATAAAACACATTAAAGAGCACAGCCAGTGCTGTGCTCAAATACATGTAATGTTAAGGTATGGTGACAAAGTTTTTTTCACATGTGCTGCTGTATAATGTCAATGCAGGTGTGACCAAAAGGCACAAGAAAAGGTAACCACTTGCAATCTGAAAATCGTTTGGCAGAGGATGGAGAAACCATTCAGAGATGTTAAAACAGTTTTAGGTTGTTACGTAAAAGGAGAGTGCTCTTTTCTCTTTTTAAAACCCTGGGTATCTGGTCCAGTCCTATGGAGACTCCCAAAATACATCCTCATTTTATCGCTACTGTTAAAGGGGAAGGGATCAAGAGAATTGATCATAGAGTCATTAGGGCCTTGTTTTTGCTGAATTAATTTCTTGTGCTCAAAGCTGTGGTATCATGTTCTATAGGTGGCTGGGCTTTCAGTATGCAGCAAAGGAACACAGGTCAGTATAGTTTTTTGAAAGCAAGAAAAAAAAATACTTCCTGCTCCTTGATTTTGTGTTTATATTCTGGTCTCAAAACAAAAGTGTTGACTGAAGCCATGAATACAGCTGAAGACACTGTTCTTAGGATGGGGATTCCTCTGTACTGGTTACTTTAGTCAGCCAATTTGAAATAGATATATACATGTATATATATGTACGTGAGGGACAGAGCAAAAAAACCATAAATCTTTGCATTTCAAGTACTACAAAGGCTTGAGCAAGCAAAATGACCCTCAAGAGATACTCCCTTCAAATAATCTTTGAACTACAACCAGCACGCAGAAGGATGTATTTCATAATATCAAATATAAACAGTGATATAAAAGGCAGATAGGAATGTGCAGAAGAGCAGCAGAAATGTTTTTTCTGGGGTAGTTCTGTGCACAAATTGTTATGCTCTCAGCTGTACAACCTGTGCGTCACAACATAATAAAATATTTCATGACCAAGAGGGAATAGATTTTATAAGATCCCGTTTATACCTCCATTGAAAAGGAGGCCTTGACAGACAGAAGTAAACATTATCCCATCACTAAAGCAGTTTAATAAAGCTTGGATTCTGTTGATGAAGAAGGATTAGCAGGCAATGTCATTACATGTCAGGCTCAGGTTTGCCAGTTTTACACCATTGTCACTCTACAGGGACAATCTCCTCCGGCACAGCAGGGGTTACCAGATTCCTTCAGTACTTAGCACAAAAAGAGCCTAAGACTAAAGAAACCAGTTGACGAGTAAATGCCATGGCAGTAAGATATTGAAGGTCAAATTCTGAGCCTAGTCTATAGCTCTATTGTATTTGGATATCAAAGCAGATAGCTGAAGTATGCATGAGTGTGCATTCATTCACTAATAAGGGGTTACTGTAGTACATCTCCTGATCCTTTTTTCTCCCCAGCTCAGTACTTTCACCAATGATGAGGTCCCCAGAAAGGTTACACTGATGTAGAATGATAAAGTCTCACTTAGAAAATGATGACAAGTGTTTCTAAAGATCTCAGTTTCCATATGGGCTCATACATGAAACAATCCAAATTTTGCTGAGATCTTATCCAGAAGTGCTGGTTAAACCCAGCCTCTAAGAGTTGCTGAGCTCTGTGTACTAACATAAGGACTATTATAAGGGCCTGCTTAAAAAATCAGGGCAAGTTCCAGCTGTTTCAGACTATCAGAAGTTAGCGTAAGCACCTGTGACTAAAAGCTACATTGCATTGGCTTTGCAGGGTGGCTGGTGTACCACTGATGAGGCAAGCATTGAAACTGGCCACAGCCTCAGCATTTTATCCTCTCTGTTTCAGAGGCATATGAACCAACTTCTTTTGGGGAAATGCCCAAGTAGCTTGTTCTTTTCCAAGCTACAACAAGTGTGGTTAAACCACACTGAGCTGTAAAGGTAAAAATTTCACAAGTCTGCAAAATGCTTTTCACTGTCACATGTAGAATTCACAACAGTATTTATGCTGGCTGAACAGACAAGATCTGATGTTGTGTGAGGTGATTATTTCCATCCATGAACAGAACTTCCCAGGTCCGTATGCTTCAGGCATTTCTGCTAGAGCTGAAAGCAAATGTCTTATATCTCTGTTAAGCTGCAGAAGCTCCTTTGATAGCTCAAACAGACTTTACTGTTTTTAACCAACCTGCATATTGTGCCTAATAGACAATACCACCTCTCTATTTATCTAGGTATTTTTAATTTATTAGAAGCAGTCACCACATTATTCAGTGCTTTATAATTAAAATACACAAAAGAACAGGATTAACTGGCAGAACATGAGCAGCTACCTACCCAACAAAAACAAACAGGGCAAAATACCACATTTAATAATACTACTAATAATGAAAAATTACTTTACATTTAACATGCACATTTTATTTCCCAACCTTTTATCAAAGGGCTAAGGGTTTTTAGCATAGACTAATAGTTAATAAATTTGGTTTCAGGAAACTGAAAAAGCTTTGTCATACACACACTCAAATGATCTTCCTCTCTTTCAACGAGCAGACAGTGAATGCTAACCCCTTTGTCATTAATGTGTTCATCCATTCCTTATTTGAGGTTCTTCCTAAATCCTTTGACTTCTCCCTGAAGGTGATAATCCACTCTTTAATTTAAGAGTCATGTCTTATTGCATTAATTTTTGCATGAGCAAGAAGAAAACTGAAGCAATCAACCAAACCTGTACAGAGTAACACTAACCACAGTAACTCTTGATTAAATCTCATTTTAAAAGTAGAATTTGGCCAAAAGAAAATTAACATTTCAACAATAATTAATCACAGCATTAAAAAACCCCAAACATTTGTCTTTTTATGTAATTCTAAGACTGTGCTCACCTGAAGTAAGAACTGCAAATGTGGCTTTGTTTTTTGACTGTTAAAATATGACATTGCTCTGACCATCACTTGAACTCTTTTAACCCAGCTAAGGTGAAGATGTACAAGAAATAACACTACACCCAATGGCTTCGGGTGTGTTTCAATCCAATTTTTCAGTGTTTCGACTGATCAGGGTAGCCTGCTGTTTGCAGGTTTTGCTCAGGAGAACCTTTACTGTATGTTCTTGTTAATTCCCAGCCAGGATTCAGCAGCCTGCATGAAAGGAGGTTTCATCTTGATATGGTTTTGTTGTATTATGCTGCTTGTATGCCAGGAACTGCTAATGAAAGAGGGCAGCTGAAGGAAGCCCCAAGATGAAATAGGAGAGAGGTGAGGGAAAAGTAATTTGGACGGCAACAGGTGGTTGAGGGTTTCAAGACTGGAAGATTCCTTCAGAAAAACTGGGGTGGATATGCCCCTTTACCATAGCCTCTAATTAAAATTGAAATGAAAGAACCCATGAGAGTAAGCCAAAGGTCAGAGAAGAAAGACTTATGAATATTCACTTCTCTGGAGCAGCTGAGGCTCACCTGCCAGGTACTTCATGGTCCCTTAATTGTTCAGCTGCTGGAGTGACCCCATCCTGGCCAGTCTG